AGTTTAAAAGAAATTTATGTAGAATCCTAAAAATAAGATGTTGGTGCTCCTCGGGAAGAGGCAAGCGCAGGTAGCAGCTCCCTATGCCTCAGTCACTCAGAAGCAGTTCTGTCGCAGTCTCTACATCCCATGATTTTGAAGACAAGGCCACTATTACTGCATTCCTATCAAAGCCCATAGCACATAGGTTTTCTATTTTTTTGGTGTACTCTGGACTAGAAACTGGTGCTCCAGCATACACGTGTGCCCAAAGTCGAGCTGTTCGTTTGAACATTTCAGGATTTTGTTTGTACTGATTTGCTACTACTGCATCTTGTGGGTCATCTGGTTCTGCAGCTGCCAACAGTGCTTGCAATGACAATAATACCGTGCGCAGAGTCATTGCTGCTGCCCTCCTCGCTCTTCAGCACCTCCTTGAACTCCCGCTTGATTCGCTGCACCGCGATGTTGGCCATGTCTCTGCCCGCAGCTGATTCGTACCCGCCTCCTCCGCCACCGCTACGACCACCGCCACCGCCGCCACCTCTTCCTCCACCGCCTCCTCCCTCAGTGAGTCAGACCCGAGCACACGAACGCTGCCACTGCCACCCTTACTGCCGTGTTCCCCCTCAGTGTGGAATCACCTCCGTGCCCGGCCACCAAAATCTTTTTCTTAATTTTTTTATTATGTTTTATATCAGTGGGTTGGGGTCTTGCTGACCATGTAGCTTCTTTAGGAAGCACTGAGGATCTTTGCTGCTGTGTTGATACTCTTCTTTATAGAATGGACACTAGAGACTGTTGTATGACACTATACTTGCAGAGACATGAACAAATGTCTATTCACCCCAGACAGGGAACCAGTGACAGACCAAAGTAAGGATAGGTTGGTTAGCCAATGAGTTTTACTGGAGTTATTTATAGAAGTATGGGTAAGGGGTTACAGGAGCAGAAATGACTCACAGACAGCAACATTACCAAAAGGCCACTCCAGCAGGGGTAACAGTTCATTAAAGCAGAAAACTTGGAGTGTGATGATGCCATTTATCTGTTCTCAGGTCATTTTCTTTGCCAGGTAAAGAATGACAAGAGGAGAAGTTTGTAGTCACAGCACACACCCAAGGTTTATTGAACCATAACACTCCACACAGCAAAGAGACAGACTCCCCACAAGGGGAGGCCTCCAGAGTTGGAGCATTGTCTACTCCCCTGGAGAGTCTGGACTTTTATATTCTATAGGGTAGGACAGGTAGGGACAGGACTGGGCTGCTCTTTCTCCTTTTGGATTGGACAGGGTAGGATTCATGTTGTTAGTTTTTTACTTATATGAATGCAGGAACCTGACTGGGTAGAGCAACAAGGGAGCCCTGATAGTGGAGGAGGAGTGTGGAGTGAGAGTGGGGCACGATACTCAGAAGTAGGCTGCTGCCATCTTGGACAAAAGTAAAAATAATTCAAATACAACTGAATCTAATCTGGGGACTCCTCTGCCTCGGATCTCTTTCCTTGATTATCTGTCTAATTTAGAACTGTCTCCTCTTCTTCAGTGTGATCCTGCCAGTCTTAGATCCATCACTGTTGGGGACCTGTCTCCTCCAAAGTGGTCTGACAAGTTATCAGAACTGTGTGAAATCTCTTCCTAGGAGCAAAGTTTCTCCTCTGACTGGCACAGACTTCAGCCTTTCCCTTCCCTCTACTTGAGATGTTTTTGGGGAAATTTCCAATTCCCAGGAACTATTGTTCCAATAGTCTGACACCCAAAGGAGAGGTCATGAGTATCTCTGAATATATTAATTCGGGACTGGAGAGTTGGCTCTGGTTAAGAACATTGGCTGCTCTTTTGAGGGGCCTGGGTTCTATTCCAAGCACCCACACGCTAATAACCATCTGTAACTCCAATTCCATGGGATCTGATACCCTTTTCTGGCCTCTGTGGGCATTGCACAACATGGTACACTTACATACATGCAGGCAAACATTCATACATACAAAAAAATAAAATTTA